GTAAATGATAAGATATTATTTGTCACTAGTTCCTCACCCTCGGCTCCACCGGAGTGAAACCACGGCCAACAACCACACGTGAGAGAGGTTACCGGAGGCTCAATCCTTAAATATCTGAAACCATCGATGTCTGAAACCCTTATCCCTAAAAGGCCAGCAACGCAAGGTAGCGCTGATCGGTTAATTTTCCTTTTTTTTTAAAAAAAAAAAACGTTTCCCCCCATTAGGATTTTTTCCTGTGTCGTGGGTGCGGTTACAAACATACAATTTCACATACACATAACACCCAGACCCGGAACAAAAATTTGTGGATCACACAAAGAGTTGTTCCGTGCGGGAATCGAACCCGCGACACGTTGCACGGCAGCCCAGCCACCGCACCAACCGACCGAGCAGTCAATTATCCAGTAATCAGTCTGCTCGTTGCCGACCTATTACATAAAAAAGATACTGAGAATCTGTACTGTCAGTGTTGTTACCCCACGCTATTCACACCATCTACTATTGTTGAAGCTAATCAGTATCAGCAACAAATTATCACATCGCACTAAGAATACCTACTACCACTAAAACTGTTACTTTACCATTATCAATGTGACTCAAACGATATTGATATCATTACACTTAAATGATGTTATCGGGTTATAATTTTAAATAAACAGTAAGTATTCAATTAGTATCGGGTTACATAAATGATATTTGAAAATAAATATTGTAATTAGGTATAAATTATTCGTTAGCGAAATCTGAAGGCTTGAATGTGTCTTCATGACATGTTTTTTTACGAATTAGGTACCTACATGTTTGTGAAATACATTATATTGTAAAGATATACACACAGTTCTGACACCTGTCGCCAATTGGGGGTAGACACACATCATTTGTAGAACGCCATATACAAATTCTGATCAAAATCTTTCGCGTAATCTTCTACGGACAGACAAACGTAGTCATGTTTGTCTACCTCTTCATTAATGACTTTTCCACATATGTAATTTACAAAGCTGACAATATTTTATTCTGGAAAGGTGTTCCCATAACTCATATCTACTTGCTTAGCTTCTATTACCTCGTGGCACCATGCATCTTGCTATAAGCACGCCAGCTAGGAGTTCTCTGCATCTCTAGCCTATTTCCAGGACCTCTTTTATGAGGTCAGCCAATGTTATTCATAATTCAAAAACTAACACAAACTAATAATACTATTTATTACGTATATTTGAACTATTAATGCTATACAGTAGAGCTATGGTTTCGAAAGAGTTTGCGAAAATGTTGCACTCGAACTGATGTTAGATTAGATATGTGTGTGTGTTCAGTGTAAGTCATTCTCACTTCCCAAGACGAGTCAGTCAGTCAGTTCCGGTACATTCATTTGTTTTAGCTGATGAGACGATCATGACGACATTTCATTGACGTCATAGCTGGACATTCATAATTTTTTTTCTTCTACGTCATAGGTATTTTCATGCTTACTAGTTCCCATATTGAAATGCGAATATTTGTGAGGGGTGGATAAGATGGGTTATTATTTTATCATCAGCCTACTTCCATCTTCTCAGGACATAGGCTGCTCTAATGAAGTAACACTGTATGTACCTAGTGTACACTTTGTGTGATCCACAAATTGTTGTTCCGGGTCTGGGTGTGATGGCTTAGGTAAATACTATTTCGGAAGTCTTTTTTTTTCAAAAGACGAAAAGGGTCAGAGTCTTACTAACTAAAACCTAGCTCGTTCCTTCTCATGCTCCTGGTCGGGGCATTATTGCGCTGGCACCTGCATCTCCGGTTGGACATCAGCCCTTGTGAGCCCCATCTGTGTCTGATGGCTCTCCGAGGCACGCTCGGATGTGAAGATTGATGCTGAAAAGCTATCAATGAAGTTAATAGAAATATTATATGAACCAGTGTATTTATTTTATTGTGACTATTTTCTGCCAAAGTAAATAAAACCAAAACATAAATTAAATAACATTTTCGAAATAAGAGTACAATTGCAATTATTTTATTTGGGACTCAAGTATATAATGAAACTCGTTTGCGTTATTTGCACAAATGTTTTTATTTTGACGTACCGAGTTGTAGTTTACGTCACAACGCACTTTGTACGTTGCACTGTTGTTTGTTGTAATATTTCCTCGTATTGTTTGTAGCTTCAAAAGAAATAATTATTAGTAATTAAAATTTACAATTCAATGTGGCAGGGCCATGCTTCGAACCACGGCATCGAAGAAAACCAGCATGAAACGACGGTTGCTTCGTGTTTCTTTATGTGAGTGAGGTTATCGGAGGGGTGATTATCACCCCATCTCGAAACCCATAATCCTCAAAACCTAAACACCAAAAGGCCAAGGAGGAACGCACATCGACTTCTCTGGTGCTGAGGGTGTTCTTAGGCGGCGTCGATCCTATAACTTACCATCACGTGATCCTGCTGGCTGCAAAGGCCACGCAGGAACGCACATTAACTTCTCTGGTGCTGTTTGTGTTCTTAGGCGGCGCCGATAGCTTACCATCAGGTGATCCTACTAGCTGGATGAGAAGACAACCTAATAACTGGCATTATGTTGAATTAAATATAAACATCAATTCTATATAAATAAAAGAACGTTTTGTCAGATGTAAGTATAATGTCAATCAATCTGTCCAGAAAGCAGTTAATTTTTCTTTGATCTAGGAGAGTTGAAGGTAGTATTATCAAAACGAGCAACGATTACGTTAACTGCACCGTATATCTAAGTATATTTAGCTATGCACATACTATTTATAATAATATGTATACAATGTATAATATGTATACAAAATGTGTCCTTTTATCATTACCTACCTACTCCCTTTCATTGAAATTACGAATGAACTGAAGTAATTGATTCATAACTGAATTTTGCGAGAAATCATCGTTGCGCGTTTCCAGGAATCAAAAAAAATATACCTGTATGAGTTATCGATTATTATAAAAAAAAAATGGATTTTGTTCACGTACCGCCGTTATCTTAGTCGATAAGTTTTTCTGTCAGTGGCTAGTGTGCGGTATTCGCACAGTATCCGAACAACCTCGTTGTAGTACGAACGTTGTTGTACCAAATCTAATAATTGTTCTGGTTTTTCCTTAAAAATTAATTAACAAAATATCCATTCAAGATGGGGTGTGGTGAATTCTTGGTCAAATACATCTTGTTCTTCGCGAACTTGGTGTTTGCGGTAAGTACCTACTTACTTTCTAATTTATTTGGCTTTGTTTTACTTTTCACACGCCGTTATTTTTCACGATAGCGGTTGAGATAGTTTTAGCTTATGTGTAGATATTGTTGGACATGTTTACAAGTGTGGCAGAAAAAGATAAAGCTATGATCGATAGATTAATATTTGATATTGAGAAAGTATTCATGTATCCAATGTGCAGTTCTATTAGATCGGTCATTGTTTTTAGCATTATTTGTTTCCTAGATAAGTAAACTTTATTGTTTGTAGTACAGTTTAAGTGTACATTATTGTAATGATATGTAGCGTGACATACTGCGTGCTACTAACTGCAGTCTACAGAACGATAAAAGGCCATAACAATAAGGCTTTAGCTATAATCACATAATGAGCATGTGCAGGGACCTATGTCCAGAATACAAGATTACGAGTCTATACACACCTAAGTACTATAAAACAGTATTAAGAATATCGACCGGAGTGATACCACGGCCTCACAGAAAACCGGCGTGAAATAACCACAGCGTTGTGTTTCGCCGTGTGAGTGAGGTTACCGGAGGCCCAATCCTTCCCCTCCCCCAATCTCTCCTAAATCCCTAAATCTCCAAATTCCTAATCCCTAAAAGGTCGGCAACGCACTCGTAACTCCTCCGTTGCGAGTGTCCATGGGCGGCGCTGATTGCTTACCATCAGGTAATCCGTCTGCTCGTTTGCCGACCTATTAAATAAAAAAAAAAAAGAATATTGTACCAGAAAAAAATAGGAACCAGTCTATTTAAAACCAATTTATCGCACAATATTACACAATCGAGGGTAATTGATATATTTTTACAAAAACGTAGTAGGTGTCTACGTAAAAATGTGGCAAGTTATTAGCTTTGTGATTCATCACATCAACATGTTATGACTGAGTGCACTGCTGGGCCTCGGGGGTCTTTCTTCATGTATTAGGATGGCAAACGAGCCCACAAGTTACCTGATGGTAATCAATGAGCTCCTCCCATGAACACTAACAAAAACCAGCGTCACATGGCGAAACACAACGCTGTGATTGTTTCACGCCTAGGGTTTCTGTTAGGCAGTGGTATTACTCAGGTCGAGCAGACCTATTGGTGCATCATCATCGCTCTGCTACAGTTAAAAATCTATACTTACTAATATTTTAAAGCTGAAGAGTTTGTTTGTTTGAACGCGCTAATCTCAGAAACTACTGGTTCGAATTGAAAAAATATTTTTGTGTTTATTGAGGAAGGCTTGATAGGTTTATCAGGTTTATCATAAAGCGCGAGCGTTGCAACGCCCCTGCTAGTCTCCCCAACACAGAACTCGGTGATTCATCATCGTTCAATTTTCTATAAATAAACACTTGACCGGAAAATAATGGAGATTACTAAAATGTCTACAATAAAATTTGACAAACAGAAACAGGAAAACCGAATGTACCTTACTAAGTAGGCAAGAAAATATATTTTATAGGTACTAGCCGACCGACTTTATTCCGCCTCAAAATTAACTAAAGTTTATAAACCTTTTAAACCTTCCATTTCATACTAGCCGACCCAGCACACTTCATTCCGCCTCAAAATTAACTAAAGTTTTCTGAGTTCCTGGACTTCTATAAATACTTCAAGACCAAAATTAGCCAAATCAGACCGGCAGTTCTCGAGATTTAGTGAGACTAACAGCATTTCATTTTTATATAGACCTTTGACAACAAATCACTTATGGATTTAGGTTACAAGCATCGTTCATCGGAATATTATAGTACTATATAAGTACATATGCATATGTAAAAAAATAATCAGCCCATAATCAGTTCAGTAGGTTACTGTAATATCTACCTGATAATGCTAATACCAGTGATCGTCCCCAATCTCATCCACATCACCTAGTTAAAGCTATGCTGGGAGGTTTCCACGACCACAGTCCTTTTTAAATGACTGGCTAATAAACTCGGAATTGCGTGAAAAAACGCGTTCATTATTAGTTTTTGCCGACTTCCTTCTACAAAATATCTTTTAGGCAGCCTTAGTGGTTGTTTTTATATTGAATTTGACACTCAACACTTAAGGAAAACAACGATAAAGATATTTCAGTCCGATATGCGATAAAATACAATTGTGTGTAGATTTCTATATTTATAAATACCATTTTTCTATATTTTTAACGTGATCCATTCTAATAAAATGGACACGGATTACTAATACATAGGTAGTAATCTTTCTAGGCTTAACATGGCAAAATTCGTGTTTATTTAGTCTATATATATGCTGTAAAACTATGACTAACATTTACATAACTGTGTGTTAATAAGCTAAAAGTCTTAACTGACTGAGTCACAAAATTAATTTACAAAGCGAAAGTCAAAGTCATCCGACTTCCTATAGTAAAATGTCTTTGCAAAGCTCTCTTACAAATAACATAGTCATAACAAAATTATCATTATCGCTAACTTGTTGGAAAACAATGCAATTCTGTAATATTATAATGTTCTATATCGAACGATAGTCGTAAACACCCATATGTATAGAGTTTTTAGGTGCGTCGCTACTCTCACACCTAAAGCCTTGTGATAATGTTGATAAGATAGTAATGATGCCGACTCGCCATAGGCTGCAGATAACGCTCCAATTACTGCTATATTGATTGTACACAAGTTGGACTACAATTCTGACAAATCCTTATATAACGTGCTCAAAGATAGCTCTTATGATTCATGTGTCAAATAGGGAAAATCTGGTTACAGGCTATTTTTACCGACTTCATTTTCTCTACAGTCTAAAATCTTACTACTTATGTGTAGAAGAAACTATAGATGACCTGATAGACAAATTAGTTCTCTTACTGCTTCTTCTTAATAGAACGGTGAGAATACTAGACTCACGTTGTTTTTCGCCAAAGAGGATATAACCAGTGCTTATATCGTCATTGTTTTTCGCCCTGTGTTTGAGGGTGGTTTGAGGTTACCGGAGGCCCAATTCATCTCAACTGAACCATAAATAGAAACGTCAAATTAAAATAATAATCTAAGTATCAGTCTGTTCTTCAGTTAAGCTACATGCTCGTTCCAAAGTGTAGATTCGAATGGTTCTCCATTCGACGAACGAGCAAGAAAATCCATGCATAATATTGTAAAAAAGGAAAATTACACAATATTTATTTTGCCCCAACGTCCATTGACGAAGAAGGAATAAAAGACTCATGTTATTCCTCACCTCTAGGCATCTACCAGGCGCCTAAAAAGGAAAATCAGACACACATTAACGATATAAAATATGGAACACCTGACCTAGATACTGCACATGCTCAATAGCACCAAACATTCGTATTTAGTAAAATATCCATGTCAGGAAAATTTATTTAATAAAGCTTAGTACATTTTATTTTTTGTAACTGCTGCCTTTATTGTAACGCAAATTGAAATGGGAAATATGATGTGTATTAATTCTCCTCGCACAGAAATTATAAACAACACAATTAATTGTATTATTATCAACCCGGTTTCACATGGGTGCCACGTTGAAACTAAATACACTACAGAAAAATTGTAAATCGATCTTAGAAAAGAAATATTTAAATCATACCTATGCTGATAAAGTGAAGATTTTTTAGCTATACTTACTGACGGGATCGGTATTTATTCTACTGGTTCTTGTTAATCTGATAAGAAAACAGACAATCAGAAAGACATAGAAGTACGTTAGAATGTTGAAGCGTAACAGTTGTATTTAGTTTTTAGCTCAATTATCTGTATTTGTTACAAAAAGTACTGATATTTGCTAACATCCAACTCTTTATGTTCCAGTTGGCTGGTCTGACGCTCCTTGGTCTGGGCATAGCGGTGCAGCTGCAGTCCGCAGACATCGTGCAGATAGCTGACTTCAACATACAGATAGCTCCCATCACGTCCATGATAGTCGGAGGTATCGTCTTCTTCATCGCCTTCTTCGGATGCTGTGGAGCCATCAGGGAGAGCAACTGCATGCTCGTCACTGTAAGTATCTCAATTAATTCATGTGTATAAGTCGAATTTTCATTGTAGAAAAACTTTCATAGTACGTGCGTGGCCACTGTAATCACTACGTAGTTCGAGTATAAACCAACAGAGGTCGCGGTCACATTAAGCCAAACTTATTTTGAATCGTCCAAGTGTTGCAATCGTATTTATATGCTTGTATACATTGAAAATTCCCCACTTCTCATAAAAGTTTTGAACCATGCCTCGTTGGCCAAAAAAACAACTCCTCCTCTTTTCTGAATCAGGGATCACACCCTTCTCTATAATATTTATAGAGTAAGAAAGTAGGTACTGATTGCTTCTTCCAAGATACTTCCTTCACGGCTTCTTCCTTAGCCTCGTAGATGTATATAGCATGGGTGTCTTTAGATTAACAGTCAATTTACACTAATATACATATTACAAATATTTTACCTCGATTTAAATTGTTACTTATCGATAGTATAGGTATGTAATATACATTCGTATAATATTTGTTCAATCCTTTCAGTACTCCATCTTCATGCTGCTGCTGATGATCATCAAGCTGACGCTGGCTATCCTGATCTTCGTGAAATTGGACAACGTCGTGTCTGAAGTCCCCTTGTGGCTCAGGGAAGCCTTCCAAAAAGACAGAGTCTCTTTCCAAGCTATTGAGAAAACGGTAAGTGATTGAATTAGAGAAACAACAATTACTTAATGTGTACAAGAAGAGATGTCAATGTGGAAAGAGGACTTTTTAATGGGATAGGTCGGCAATCGAGCAGAAGGATTACCTGGCACCCGCACCACCAAAGAAGTTACGAGTGCGTTGCCGGCCTTTTAGGGATAATGGTTTCGGATTTTTAAGGATTGGGCAGGGATGGGGGAGGCGGCGGGACGGGCCTCCAATTCCTCCAATGATGTGTTTGTTTCACCCCAGTTTTCTGTGAGGCCGTGGTGTCACAGCTGTCAAACCGACCCATTAATGCTGAAGCTTGGCTCTCCGACACTTAGAACTTAATAATCAAAGTAATTTCGAGGAATTATTTTAATTCCTTTTTTATGGTTCTAATTGATTGATCTCTAGATCCTAAAAAGTAAAATTGTAAGTATACCTAAGACTACCATGCTTCTACGTGAATTCACCGGCTGGTTGGACCAGAGCGACACGACAGCCTCATAGAAAACCAAAGCGTTGTGATTCGCCGTGTGAATGTGTTTTAGGAGGCACATACTCCATAACTCACTCACTGGATTAGATCCAAGATCAGCAACGATTGCTTAACGTCAGGCGTTACGTCGTTTCATTCATCAGCCATAAAATCTATAAAAGTACCTAATCTGATAACAAACTTAGGTTCCAATGAAATCCCTATAAAAAGTTTAATATAAATTATTTCTGGTTACAGTTCAGTTGCTGTGGTCCTGACGGTTACGCCTCATATGGGATCCTGGGCCTGCCAGATACCTGCTGTGCCACCGCCCCATGCAATATTGGCAATGCTTACAGCGGCTGCAACGAACACGTGCAGCAGTTCTTCCAAACCTTCGGCCTCGCCATTGGAAGCGTCATGATAGTCGTCGTATCCATTGAGGTAAACATTTGCTGTTTCAATATTTTTAGGTTTAATGTGCGGTGGTGTAACATTCAACATTCATTGAAGCTAACCTTTCTTTTAAAACTTTCATGTTACGCGGGTATTAACGCGAAAAGTAGTTTTTTAGTCTGCTTGTGACCACGACCTGTGCGACCTGGTCGAAACGTCAAGCCGTCAAGGTATTAAAAAAATACTTTTCGCGTTAATAACAGTGTAATTATATTATGTTATTCAATGAATCTGACCAAGCAAAAAATTAGTATTGGCTATTAATATAATAAAAAAGGTGATAAATACAACCCTGTTAATATCATAGGCACGAGACTTTGTAAGTAATATATGTATAGATAGATAATAGGATAGATGTTTATTATTCTTTTACCTAAAGACCACTGCACGGATTCTAATGAGGCGTAAAGATAAAATATCTGCGCAATATATGTATAGGCTACTTTTTATCCTCTTTTTTTGATATTAACAGAAGCTGTTTTTCCATTGGAACAAAACCTACTTATTTATGCATTTCCTATTGTAGACCCCTCGTATTTGAAAGCAAGAGTTTTTTTATACTTAATTAATAATGATCCCTGTGTGATTTCAGCTGGTGGCTGCAGTGTTTGCTCTGTGCCTGGCTAACACCGTCCGCAACAAGAGCAGGAGAGCTCGTTACTAAGTACAAATCTATACTCTAAGCACTATGTGTAACCTAGATCATAAGTTTATACCTAGTTGTACTCTACGTTACTATATTAAACTATAAAGCCTAATGACAATAATAGTGTTTTAATTTTCAATATGATCTTGGACATAGATTGGGACGGCCTCGTTGTCTCGTGTCAAACTTTATAAATCTTTTTGCATGAGTGTTGACCGGCGTATGTAGTACAGGAGCCGGTGAATGCTTGTTGCTTTCAAACAGAGAACTCCAGCGACTGGAAGTCTCTTTTGGAAGGCATGGGCGGATCAGAAATTTGCATCTTATTAGTCAGTTAATGTAATTGAAGAACTTAAAACCTTCCTTCTAAATTACTTTTCAAATATAATCATAATTGCAATCCAGTCTTCGCTATATTTTAGAGATTTTGTACATCTTTTCGGAAATAACTTTATCATGCTATTTTGGCTTGTCTAAAATTTTTCTGGTGTTGTAGCTGTAGCCCGGTGCCTTGGTGACACAAAGGGCCCCCTTTTTGTCTTCAGGCTCTGGGTTACAGGCCAAAAAGCCGTTAGTAAATGCACCTATGTTTGGGGGAGGCGTGTGTTCAGTTGTAGACGTGGTGTGGCAAAGCTAACGATATGGTTTTTTTTATGAGAGGAAAATCATCAAATGTCTTCTCCCGCCCAGGGCCGGGCGGGAGGGAGTGTCGGACTCTTACTGACTGAAAACCTCCCTGTTCCTTCTCCTGCTCTGGGCCGAGGTCGCGGTTCCTCATTGCGCTTACCCCGCAACCGCTAACGATATGGTGCGGTGTTGAATACGAAGCGTTTGGTTTTAAAATAGAGAATATTTTAATGTGGGTACGCGTTCTTTATTAGTGATCGATGGGGTACGCACATAGTTACATACCCTTCATACCTTCTGTAGTTTTATTAAATTCATTAAAATAACTAAGTAATTAAAATATTTTATTTGTAGCCGTTACTTTACTTTATGATGGTTAAGTTTTGAGTTATGGATTAAACACTCGTTAATCAGCAGTAAATAACAAAATACTACTACACACGCAAAATCAGTCGGGTAATAAAAAAATAAACAAGCAATGTGTAATAAAAAGGAAATTCTCCTTTTCAAAAATTCGAAGGTAATGGTGATAATAAGTGGCAGAAAGTTTACAGAGAAAGTAAGTTCTGATACTTACATAACCCGCTGAGGACATTCGGTGATAATCTCCGAAGCACGATTATTGCCTGTTTACAATAGGGTACAACATCTCCGGACGTTCGTCATAAATCTGTTGATAGTAGCGGACGACATATGTACCTAAAGTACTACCTACATAATAAAATAAATGTAAGTATAAATAGTTTTATGAATGGCTCAAACTGTTTGAGCCAGACTGTTTACAGAATAACAACAAAACATGCTTACGTGATAGGTGCATATAATTAACATAGCTACATAAACAAATACTTGATCTATACTAATATTATGAAGAGGTAACATTTGTAAGTTTGTATGTAGGGGGTAATCTTAAGAACCGCCTGGTCGGATTGCCAAAATTCTTTCACTGATGGATAGCTACAATGTTCCTGAGTGCTATAGGCTATGAAACATCAAGCTACGGTTAAATGGAGCAGAGCAGCGGGTGAAACCGCGCGAGAGTAGCTATATTCAATAATTTTATCCAATTATCGAAATCCACGGTATTTTATGGCGCTAGTACCAATTTTCTTTTATATAATCTGTATTTTAATTTTGAATTTGTATTCCTTTAACTTTGTTTACTTAACTAATTAAATATTTAATGTTAAACATTAAATAAGCGTTAACGTTGTATATTTTTCAGTTTTATAGTTTAAACTTTTTACTTTTGCAATATGGATGACCTTTTATAACACTCTGCGTAGAAAAGCTGTAAGTAAGTATAAATAAATAATATTTAATTTAATATATATTATGTTACACTCAAAAACAATATTGAAACGTACCTGGTGTTTCGTAAAAGCTTCCCTTACCTACCGTTCCTGTGTAATTAATTAATTAAAGTGATGTCATAACGCATTATGACCCAAATGTGCCAGATGATTATTTGGCTTAAACTTTTTTGTTTCTCGACATCATAGGAATGTTCCTTATTAGAATGATACCTAAGCGAAGTAAGTTTTATTTAAGGAATTTGTTTCAGCAGGCGCATCTTCCTGTATGAATTTTCGAACTATTTTGCGCGTGTTTAGTTAAGTTTACATTGGTTTTCTGTATGGTCTTGTATGTCTATTATGTATGAAGCCCAGTCTCTGGGAAAAGTGAACCTAATTTCAGCCATATATTAGAGGCATCGATCTATATGTGTGATTGTTCTAAATCATGAAGATGTCGTCCGTGCAGTTTTTTGGAGCACCACCTATTGATTTTGTCGGTAGTATGACTTTCTATGTATAAAGTTTGAGTGGGGTCACTATTGATGGGTGAATACTTATTTCGAGATCTTTTTCGAGTTCTCAGGATTAGAAGTTTACCTTCTCATGAGTGATTTTCTCAAGCATAATATTTAGACGGCGCGACTGAAAATATTATCTTAAACTAAACGTACAATAAAGTTTTTTTTTTTTAAGAAAGAAGGTGTACTTATCTTGATCAGGCCGTCAATATTTAAGTAGATAGCATTTTGGTAGTGAAACAAAAAGTAGTTATTTAGCATAATTCTAAGTTTGGTGGAGCGTCCACAATCTGTTTTTCTGGGGATGACCACCGCTTAAACGAAACTACACTAGTTTACTAGAAAATACTAAATTTATTTGTACTCAGTATTAGTTTTTCTATCTAATAAAAGTTTTATTTTTACATTTAGGGCTATACTTTATCCTAGTGAAAATCGAAAAGGACTGTCCGCGCGAAATTTAAAATTTTGGTGGGAGTAATCTAATCATTAAGTGACTCATAAAGAAAAAACCTAGATGGACGACGCGACCAACGTTCACTTCGTTTAGTCAGGCGCTCACGCGCAGCAGTGACAGACGTGTGCCATCCTGTTGTGATTTCCCGCCAAAAACGTAAGTAAGTCTTTTCGTAGTAATCGGACAAAAAACCTGCAATTTTGGTGTGATGTTTTAAAAACGTTTTATGACTAATTCGGTGTTTTAATTTAAATTTATAATAAAAAGGTTTGGTATGCTTTCAAAATTATACAAATATAAATTGTATATTCTTAGTAGTTTTTTTTTAAATAAACATATTCAACTAGATTCTAATTGTGGTGGTGCAATTTTGGTGGTTTTGGTGGCATTTTACCAATCACCAAAATTGCTTTGTTACACCAAAATTAGTTTTTAGAGCTACGTAACTCACAGATAAATGAAAACAGAACCATAATAAGATAACTCGGTTTGGAAGTACAATACCTATATTATACCTACCTACCTAGTTCTTCCGTGGAGAAATGCTCATACATACTGCATTACCACAGGGGATAGTGCAGTTATGTAGGACCCCAACTCACTAAAACTCCTCGGGTTCCTCCTCGCTTCACCGTGGGTAACCAAGCTACGGTTACTGAGCCTCTACAATGCGGAACCCACCGGGGTACCGTGTGAATCCAATACACTGTAACTGCGAAAAACAGATTTTGAGAAAACGAGCAAAAACACTTTTTTGTGTTTTTAGAGGATTACGATTATGTTTATTAAGATATATTTAAGTGTTTGATATCAATAAAAAGGTAATTTTATAAGGTTTTCAGCCCCCCCAATTAAAATACATTTTATCGTTAGTATATTGATTTACCATAGATAACTTGTATTGCCACAACAGTCAGCAGAAGCGAATGAAGAGATTGTTATGGTAATACACTGTATATTAGAGTTACAGTGTATTGCACTGTTAAATCAGTGTTTTTTTACTGGTTCAAACAATGTATCTCTGAAAGTTTGGTTCGTTTTGTTGTCAACTTATTTTTTTTATTGTAAGTTTTCATTTTGAAGTTACTTTTGTCCCGGCTCACGGAACAATTTTGTCCCTGAACTTTTGAATTCATTCGAAATCATTTTCAAGAACTGGGTCGGGCTCATACCTGTAGTACGGCACTTCCGATCCCACAAGAGAGTACTTTAGAGCAAGCTGCTGATGGATGATCCCAGCTACAAGGTTGTGCCTATGCAAGTACTCGCCGTTAGCAGGACGAGAACAACCAGAGATTATGTGACGAATTGATTCTCCCGGACGGTGACATGCCCGACAGATGTCAACCGTGCCATCCTTCACAATAAATCTCCGGTAGTTATTCGTCATGATAACTTCGTCCATAATTGCAAAGACAAACCCTTCGGTTTCCCCAAAGAGGTCTCCGAACCGCAGCCAGGCTACGGACGCCACCTGGTCTATATCCGGTCCATGGTGGGCTGGGAAAAAGCGTCCATGAAGCTCCTTGCTCTGCCATACTTCCCTGCGAGCGTTAGTGTCAAGTACGACGGGTTTGCGCCAGTTTTCGATAGCCAGGGAGAGCGGGGTGAGACCTTTGTCCACTGCCACTACATCTCGATGCATACCCACGTCGGCAGCAAGGAAATATTCCCTGAGACTACATACCTCGCGGTTGTGTAGGGTCTTGGCATTTAAAAAGCCTCGACCCCCACACTTCCGCGGGATATACAGTCTCATCACCGACGACCGCGGGTGATGCATTCGGTATGCAGTCAGCATTGTTCGGACCCGCCTATCCAGGGCGTCCAGTTCAGTTTGAGACCATTTGAGTACGCCGAAAGAGTACATCAATAAGGGCATGACCCAACCGTTGAAGGCGCGCACTTTGTTTCCACCTGAAAGAAAGCTATTAAATACCTTCTTCAGGCGACCAAAGAAACGCTCCTTCAGCGATTGCTTCATGTCAGTGACATTGATGCATAAAGCTTCCGACATACCCAAATACTTATAGGTTTCTGTTGGAGAGAGGGACCTCAGGTTTATGGAATCCGTGAGTTGAGTTCCCACAAATTCCACAACCTCCCCTCGTTTTACATGCATGATCGCACATTTGTTCACACCGAACTCCATCCTGATAGCACTACTGAAGGTTTCTGTTAGCTTGAGTAGCTCCGACAGTTACAGTTTGTTGGGGGCAAG